GAAAGAGAAGGAAGAAGAGGAAAAACAAGGAGAAGAGGTGAGAGTCAGAAAGACCAGGTGCTCTACATGACGCTGTCTGCCTGTAGGTGTGGTGACATGCTGTCAGCTTACAAGGTTTCACAGTACGCACCACACTGAACGAGCACTGGACCGTGGATATGGTGCAAAAAACTAGCTCCTGTCTGATTTGATCCCATGTCAAATTCTGATGTTGATTTAATATTTATTGAACCCACTAAACCTCGCTGACCTGCTGGTGGGCCAGACATTACAAAGTAACGCTGTGCAGCCAAACATTGTTCAAACCCCACAGAACTTTTTTTTACAAAGATACCAAGTTTGCCAGGCTGAATTAATGGGGTAAACATCATGAACTGAATGAAGAGCTGGAACACGCTGATACAGAATACACAGTATATGATACTGTCAGATAGTGAGAGGGGAAAAAATGGAGGAAACTGTATGCTAAGATAATACGTGTGAAATGTATGGCTATGACAGCCATTTTGATACATTTTTTTATATAACGTCTTCCACACTCTCTTCTCTGATCAATCTTGCGAACTCAGTTATCGTAAAGTTGAACTGTTCCTCATTTTGCTAGGGGGGCACCTTAAGAACCCCTGTGGATCTTTCCTGGACTCCATTTGTGAAGCACATTTCTAGACAGCAGACTGGACACATCACTCTGCAAAATACATTTATCATTCAGTATTCAGTGACTGTGTTCATTTGAGCAGCATGACAGTTTGACAGTGTCCAATTGCATAGCGGTCCACCGTACCATTGGGAGGTTACATGGTTTATAATGAGATGTGTTGGGGGGCGGAAGGAGAAAGAGAATGTAAAACAAGGTGGTTGAGAAGACTGAAGGAGTGGTGGATAAATAGATGAAGAATAAAGGAGGGAGGGAGGGAAGGATGGTGGAGACTGGAGGAGAGCTACCTTTGAACTACTGTGTGTCAGAGGATCTAGATTTCTATTAGTCTTCGGTGCTGTGCCAGGAAATAAGAGTCAGGGGAGGACATGGGACCGTTCTCACTCCAGCCTACTTCCCTCTCCCTCCCTTTCTACCTCTCCATCTGCACCCCTCCCTCTCGTTACCCCCTCTCCTCCTCTTGCTATCTTTACTCTCCTGTCATTACTCTCCCTCCATCTCCCTCCTCCTCCTTGCTCTCATTACTTTCTGTCATCTTTTGTCTTTCTCAGCTTCTGCCCTGTCTGTCCCTCCTCCCTTTCTTTCTGCCTCATCTCCTCCATCTCTCAGTCGTCTCATTCTCCTCCCCTCCCTCTCCTCCTCTCCTCCTCTCCAGCCTGACTGTACTGGAGTGATTCACCTCTCCCGTGTGCTCACAGTCCATCCAACCAGTTTCCCACTGCTGAGCCGAGGCCCTCACACTCAAGCTAAAATGTCTCCATTATCTTTTATCATCTGCTTGTGTTTTGCTTTCAGAGGTACCCAATTATCTTAATGCTAAATTGAATTTGGTTCCAGCTCTGTGATTGTTGTTGACTCTCATAATCCATTTTCATGAAAAGGGCTTTGCTCCAATCACTGCTAAACTAATGCAGATACAAAGTCATTGGCTTGGCAGTAATTATGCTTGTGGAGTTGTTAGTTGTATTATTTTTTTTCTGCAAGGACGGTGGGATATTCACTAAGCTCAGGCTTGATGCAAGTGTGTTAATTTGTGGTGTGGACAGTTGTATATGCACGTGTGGGCGTTTTGTGTTTGTCAGTATCCTTCAGTGTCCAGAACACATTTTTAATTGCCTACCACAGGTTGGTAAATTCAAGAAGTCCAATATTGTAATCCAGTTTCTTAAATAAATGTGTCTTTTTTCAAACATGTTAAACACGCAAAAGTTAACACACGACTGCTGACCAAGGACGGCAAGGGCAAACTTTTTCCCCCGGAACATTTCAGTCAGTGTTTCTTTCTTTCCTATGTACAAAATTGTGTGGGAGTGTGTCTTCAGCTTGTGTATCATAGCGAGAGTCAACTACCAATTGTGCCTAAACTGGGGCCTTAAACAGCTCTTCTACGCTTTTGAATGAGTAAGTGCTGCATCATGGGTATATGGAGGGCTTTATCTTCAAACAACTACAGTACTATAGTGCTGTGATTCCACAATACTGATTCAGTGTTGCAGCCATTTTTGAAGTGCCACTTCCTACACTTACAAAACTGACTCCATCCTCGAGATTGTTTGAAATTGTTTTTTCTTTTCATCCACTGGAACTAAAAAATCTGCTTAACTGAAAGTAAAAGATTGGTGGGTGATTTTACATGAGTACTTTAAAATATACATATTCCTAAATATAATTATGGCTTTGAAAAAATTCAAAGCCAAAATGATTGTGATTACAGTAGTTTGATTATAAAAAGAAGTAACTGCCATATATAATATGCTATAGCTCTTGTAAAGTTTCTCAGATATCAGATAAGTATTAGAAATATTTAAAAGAAAAGTGACTATACTTGGCTGTAGACCCCGTTTATACACATCATTGTATAATGGTATATATGGATAATAAAAAAGAAAAAACACTTTACCAACTCAATATTGGATTTTGCACAGTTACTTGTCACAAATTGTAACCGGTTTTCTTCTTTGTTTTTGTGTTTGTTTTGCAGGACGGTTACTCCCAGTATCACTTTGTGGGCTCTGCCTCAACGATAGAGAGAGACAGACAGAGGCCCTACTCCTCCTCACGAACTCCCTCCGTCTCCCCTGTCAGGACGTCCCCAAATAACCGCTCTGGTGAGGAACACATAACACTTACAATACAAGAGATTATGTATGTGTTAGTGTGTTAGTGTGCATGTGTGCATGTGTGCATGTGTGCGTGTGTGCGTGTGTTTTAGCTTTTTGTACCTTGGTTCTCTTAACAACCAGTTTCAACTAAGGACAATTTTACCAAGTGAGATACTCCTAAATAAATGTACTTAAATTTAGAGTTAGGATTAAATTTGGTCTAAATATATGCTTGTGTTGTCTCACATGGCTACATATCTGTCTCAGTAAGATCACTGGGTGATCAGGTGTGATGTCAGAAGTTCAGGTGCAGAAGTTGTTTAAAAAAGGGGCAGAGAGATTGTGGACCGTGGTCACCCCCAAAATTTGGAAGAAATATGGCCAGAGCTGATGAGACAGAAATAGTCAAGGGCAGTTTCTGTGGTAGGTGTTTTATCACAGCCAATCAGCTGCCCGCTTTTTCAAGGTCTTGTTGTTGTTATGGTTATTGATAAAATTCAAGATTATAAATTGGAGGAAAGCTGAATTATATTAAGGTTACAGCAAACATGGAATTAGTTTAGAATCTAGAGCAATAGTTTCTTTGGTGATGTTTTACTATTAGATGGTAGGAGTAGATCACATTTTTGGGAAATATGCCTATTTATTTTATTGCTGAGAGCTATTGAATCCACTCTCATGTGTGAATGTTAGAAACTACAGCCAATTGGTGAGATCAGTTTAGCATGGAAGAAAGTCTGGAAGCATGGATAAACAACTGGCCTGGTTCTGTCCGAAGTGTTTAAATTAACATAGAAATGTAAAACCAGCAGACTGCTTCCAGTCTTAATACTAAGGTAACCTAATCACCTTTTGACATACCATACAGAAAAGGGAATGGTATCACTCTCAGTAAGAAAGAATGTATTTCCCAAAATGTTGAAATATTCCTTTAGGTGGCGGGATGATAGAAAACATTTTGTAACAACAGCAAGTATTCAAATTAAAGGTTATATTATATTCAGGTTTGGTTAAGTTATAAATTCTTGTTCTTATCTCACCTTTACTGACTAAGGTCCCCCCTTGGAATGAATTTAGTCCAGCAAAAGGTGCAAAGACTAACTATGAATGTACATGTGTGAAAATGTATGTGGGACATGAATACAACCAGAAGGTACAGGACACACATGGATTTTAATGAGTTATATATTAGACATTAGCCAGAAGCATCAACATTTACCAGTTGATCAGTCTTTACACTGGGGCTAAATAGCTGGTAGCGTCAGTGCTCGCCACCCACAGGCTTTCATGCTGTAAAGTATGATTATCGTTAGCCTTTAGCTTAAGCCCATTGGCCTTCATGCTTAGCAAAGGGCGCATTAGCATTAGCTGTTAGCATCAGAAGAGCCTTTAGCTGTGCTTTCTCCACACCGGGCTTAGCAAGCTGATGAGGCAGAAAAGTACTTTTCCTTCCTCTCGGCTTAGAGAGGTCTTCAAGGACCCAGCTAAAAGAGAGAGACAGAGGGAGTGGAAGTGGGAGAGAAAACGTGTGTATTTGTGTGTGTGTGTGCGTGCGCGCGCGTGTGTATGTGTGAGAGAGAGAGAGAGAGGAGACAGTAAGGAGGGTGAGATAAACAGAGAGGGAGATAAAGAGAAAAAGCAAGGAGGCAAGAAGAATTAGGGATTGAGGGATGGTTAATGCAGTGAGGAGGAAGTGAAGGATGAGCATTTGACTTTGGCCAGCGACATTGAAAATAAGGATTTTTGAGATCATTGTGCGTAGAGAGAGATTTGTGTATGTATGTAGTACAGTGGAGGAGGTGGGGTAAATGGGAAAATGGCTGGAAATGACTCCCATCTTCTCTCCCGCTCGTCCCCTCTCAACACCCCTCGCCTTTCCGGTCATCCGCCCCTTCTCGTTCATCCGTCTCATTCTTCTCCTCCCCCTCCTCTTTGCAGTAATCCTACTTTCTTCTCACCTCTCCCTCTGATCTCTCACTCTTTACGGGCTGCCTCAATGTGCGCACACACACTCTCACACATACATACACACCCACATGCATCTGTATCTCCTCTCTGCATATGCTCCAGACTGCAATCCGGCCCCTTAGAGATGGATCAAAGCAGAAGGAGTAATGATGGCGTGCAGGCACACAGGGAGAGGAGGAGTGAAAGAGAGTGAGAGAGTGAGGATAGAGCGGTAAAACTGTGAAAGAGATAGAGAGGAGTAGGGGAGGTTGCAGGCTGCGAGGATGGTGAAGAGACAGAGGGAGATACAAACGGAGAGAGAGACCTTTTCATCCATCATGGCCCCCACAGGGTCCTGCTGTGTTTTGCGCTGATAGAACGAGTCTCCCAGGCTCTCACATCCAGCAGTTACTAGTCAGGTCCCCACGGTAACCGTAACCAGCAGCGATGGCACTGTCTCTGGGGGTGTCGGTGACAGGTTTGAGCATCCACCTTAATGGAATCCGCTGCAGAGGTGTCAAGTGCTAAGAATTAAATATCAAAAGTGTCAAAACATTATAAAAGCCTGTAGCTCCTGTCTTCCACAATTGCCCTTGCTTTACTAAATGTTTGTAATTACATTCACCACAACTAAATAGTCGCTAATCATCTAATAATGTGTATGATTCCTTGCTTAATATGTCAAATATTGAAAGCCTGGATAAAAAAAAGTCGTCTTTTAGTATTCAGATAGATAAAGTGAGACTCCAAGGCACTCCAAAATGTACTTAAAAAGCCTTTATTATGTTTGGTGAGTCATATTTGTGTTTTGCCCTGCTGCTTTTATCAGGGTATACTGTAGGAGCTAAAGAGAACAAAGGCTCTTTATACTGATTTTTGGCGTGCCGCACATCTTTTTTGTGTTGGAAATGTTTCTGCTTGCGCAACTGAGAATGGTGCTCTCCATGAACCGTGCGTGTGTGTGTGTGTGTGTGCATGTTGACTACAGTCATCTGCTCAAAGTTGGGTTCAACAGGTCCAAACATCTTATTTTTAGAATGTCCTTCACATATAAGGGTATAGTACATATATACTGTATGTATGCTGGGTAGTTATAGGAATGTTTAGCTAAGCAGACTGAAGGGGCTGATACACAGGTAGGCAGGATTCTGGCAATTCAATGTGTCAAGATAACAGGGACTGAGTAAGCACTTTAAGTATGCTATAAGGGGATTACATTGTGACATGCTGAGTGTGTGTGTAAGGGGGGGGGGGCTGTATGTACAGTATGTGTCCTGGATCTGTCCTTGCCTGTGCATTATCTGTTTATGTATGGCCGCACACAGGCATGTGGGAAAAAATAGAATTCATGTGTGAAAAATAGCGCTGCTCTCAAAGCTTGAGAGAGTGACAGAAATAGAAAAGTTGTGAGGTTTAAAAGGTAAAATAGTTTTGAAATTCCAATAGGATG